CAAATCGCCACAAAGTGAAGTGAGTGACCGGCTTTATCGGGCGGGGATTGTCGGGCAGGACTCCGGGAGAGAGAGAGAGAGAGAGAGAGAGGGAGAGAGAGAGAGAAACTCCCTTTTCTTTGCAAATAGGGCCGTGGGAATCTTTGACGTCTGCCCAAACAGGGCACGATGGGACCATGGTTTACCGTCTCAGCCGAAAAACGGCACCTCCGACAATGCAGTATTCTCCAACCCCCACAAGCTATTCCCCAGCACTGCACTGGAGAGTCACCCTGGACTCTGAAGCATCTCAAAGCGCCTCCAAGGATTTTTACTGTGCGTTGTATTTGTAAGCGAATCCAGGTTTGCTTGTAAATGACAATGCTATTCAAGATCACTTTTAATAATGCATCGTTGCCTGTTAAAGCTGACTGTAGGCCTGAAATTCCACCACGCATAATGTCTCGAAATATAAGCACCCCAGAACTTCCCCCACCAATCCTAATTTGGAGGCCGACGTTTTTCAAGAACTGCGGAAAAACGTTTCCCGAACGAGGAGTGAATTTAGGTACTTTCCCCAATTCTGCATGGCCTTAAATTGCAACACAAGACGACGGCGACAACAACAGATTGTATTTATATTGCGCCTTTCGTGTTCAGAGGTCATCCCAAGGCACTGGACAGTGAAAGGTTTCAACTTGAGGCTGGGGCTTGGAATCAAGGTGGGCGGAAGGCAAGAGGGCGGGAAGGTGACCGAAGGCGCGATCGAAGAGAAAGGTCTTGAGACAGGCCGGTATGATTTTAGTAGGTCGCAGAGGTAGGGAGGAATATGGAGGACTGTGGAGGGCTTTAAACGTGAGGACTAGGATCTTAAACTGAAGACAAAATAATCGCAAGAGTATATAATAATCCTTGCATTTGATACAGCACCTTATCACGTCTTCGAGACGTCTCAAAGCGCTTCACAGGATACACTGTAAAGTGAATTGACTGTATATTTTGTGGGTGAAACGCGGCAGCCAATTGCGCACAGCAGCGTCCCCACAAACGGTCGTGGATTGAAGTGACCAAATTCTTATTTCTTTAAAAATTTTATGTATCACGTCTTAAGCGAGCAGAAAGGGACGGACAGCTGTGAATTGACTGATGGCGTCGAGCGAGAGACGTCAAAAGCCGAAAGTTATGGGATAAAGTTAGTGCTATCTGCAAAACACTTTTATTAGGAAGCAGGAAAGCAGAATCTTTTTATACCCCTCAAAGGATATTAATTTTCTCTCCTGCAAATATTACATTTTGTTTATTACCGCTCTGCAGGAAGGATCGGAGAGCAGTTTGGGAGCGATAACAGAGATACATTCAAAATCATGCCTCGTATCCTTGCTCCACCTGTGACTTTTAAGACAGAACACAAGGAATATAGGATTTTTATTTTACTTATGGCCCTAATTTTATTCCGGTTTATAAAATGATCACATTTTGTTGAGCTCTCCCACTGCAGCTCTCGACGCTAATCTCATCCATCATCAAAGGCTGAAAGTTTGAGGTGCAGTTGGAGCTATTTGCAGAACACTTCTATTAGTAAACAGAACCTTTTATACCCCTCCAAGGATAACAATTTTCCTACTCTAATCTCGACATCCGTACACTTTTAAACATTATTTTTCTCTAGTGCACATCTAATTCCCCTTCTAAATGCTATTACGAACTCAACAATCCCCCAGATACATTGGGGATGTTAGTGGGATATTGCTGGAGTCCAAACGTAGCTACCATTTGGAAGCAACAAGTAATAATAATAATAACAATTCTTGCATTTGATATAGCGTCTTATCGCATCGTTCAGAAAAAAAAAGGAAAAGGGCCCTTGTTTGCGAATGCAGGGACGGACGCAAGGGATGATTCACAGCCTGTCTGTCTTCAAAAGCAATTCCAGAGCCTCGTGAAAGGTTCAGGGAGAAATTCAATAACGTGGGTGCCAGCCTACATACTGATGTGCCCGCTGTTTAATTGCTGATTCACATCGCGGCTGCTTGTGAGACCTTGCCATGCGTAAAATTGGCTGCCGGTTTTGCCTTCAAAACAATGCACTCATTAGACTTGGCAACTGAGACGTTTGGAACTGCAGCCTGGGCTGCACCAAATGCAAGGATTATTTAATTTTCAAAGTCAAGATTCGGAGCAGAAATCAGAAGTTGCTAACTGGCCTCCTCTGAAATTGCATTGGTTAATTTCACGCGGTTGGTTTACTCTGTTCTACCGGGCTAGATAGAGTAGGGAAGGAAATATCAGCCGGGGATCTCCTTCTGATCTGTATCCAGTGCCTTCTGATTGATTACTGCCATCCCAGTCCTGCGGAGCAGAGCAGAGCAAAGCAACAATAATGTTGATTCCCCAGTGTTAGAGGGAAGAGCTGTGAGGAATGACTAGACAAGTCAGGGCTTTTTCAGCCTCGAAAAGGGGCCTTGTGGAGGTGTAGGAGGTGATAAATGGGATGAAAGAATTAACAGTACATCCTGATATCTCGAGGTGACGGGACAAGAGGGCGTGGGTTTCAGTGGTGTGAAGGGTTGCAAAGAGCAATTTCAGCACAGCCTACAATGCAATGGTGGAGGGAGGTGCTGCATTTGTTGGGAAATGCTGTGCTTTGGATGAGAGGTTAAACCGAGCTCCCCGTCTGTACCTGGTCCCGTGGAGAGAAGGGAGGTTTTCTCTCTCCCAGTGTCCTGGCCGACAATCCCCCAGACAAGATCAGTCACTCCCTTCATGGCTGTTTGTGGTACTCAAATTAGCTGTCTTGTTCGCCTACAAATACACGATCAGCTACACTCAGCACTGAAAATCCTGTGAAGCGCTTTCAGACGTCTTGAGGATACGATAAGGCGCTTTATCAAATGCAAGGATTATTTTTATTATTTAATAAAGCAGGATTACTTGGATAAACTGACTTGCTAGCACCGCAAAGCCTTGCATGCAAGAGCTGTGCATCGAGATTCCTTCAGGGGGGAAAGAAATCGCATTGCGTGAGATACAATCATGTACATCTCCTAAGCCACAAACAATCCTTTGGGTCGAAACCGATTAACACACTGGAGGCTGGGACAAACTGCTTATGAGAGGAACGCTCAGTTAAACGACAGAAATTATAAAGCCAAATCAAACAGATTGACTTTGAAGACGCTCGCAAATGAGGTCAGCGGTAAGGCAGAGAATTGATAGCAAAACACAATCAAAGGCAGGACGGAGGTTTAAGATTTTATTATACGTTGCAGAATAGCCCTATAGTGCATTGGGGGATGCAACAGATGAGAATCTTATCCAGTCAAGAAACTAAAAAAATTCCCTAAAAAGGTACATTCATTCCAAGTTGCAAACGAGATCTTTGAGGGGGTGTAATAGATTGTTTTCCCCTCACAACCAGAGAAGGTATTTTTGCAAACCATCATGCAGAGCAATAATCATTATTATTATTATTAATAATATTAATAATATCAAGAGAAAGAAAAACTTCTTTAGGATAAGAAGTGGCAGCCAGACGATATTAATTATATTAATCCATACACTTTTAACCGTGAGCGCACACACACAAAGAAAAAATGGATTCTTTTGGTGTTCTCATGGTATTTGGCACTGTGTGATGATGCTTCATACAGCAATATAGAAATTTACATGTGTGCTGCCCACGATAACAAAACAAATCCATCGCACTTTAGCAATACATTTGTAGTTTTTACAAATCCCATCACTGTATACAAAATATGCCTCTTTACTTCTATTTCAGCAAAAAGCACTGCAGCATCAAGATAGATAGATATAGAGAGGGGGATATATATATATAGAGAGAGAGAGAGAGAGAGAGATAGAGAGAGAGAGAGACAGATAGATAGAAACACAAATCAAGCTTTGCACGTTTTGTTTCTAATCAAAACACAAACCGTGTTTTCCTTCATTCCTTAAAAAAAGGTTTGCTTTGTCTTTAGTTTAAAAACATTCAACACTGCGAGAGAAAAGGATTTGAAAGTTCGCTTCTTCTTAAAAAAAAACAATACGATTTTACATCCAAAGTGAGCGAAATTACTGATAACCGGCGAGAGTAAATGTTGTTGCTTTCACCACAAAGTAGCTCAGTAGCAATACAACACAGCGGTTGAATCGATGTTACAGGGGTCATCATTCATGCATGCAAGCTACATCATTCTCTTGGTTCGAGCACATAGATTGCTCCCGTGGCCCTTAATCTCTGTAGATAGGGTGACCGTCCGTCCCCTGGGACGAGGTGTTGTGTCACTGGGGTCAAATTTGCCCTGTCTTGGGTTCGGCGACAAACCGAGCAAGAACAATAACATTATAAAACACATACGCTCATCAATTAGTCAGAGAAACACAGCCATTAATCCAACACGCTTCTCCGAGTAACTATACTGTCAGCATCAGGAATTAGAATTATATATTTTTTATATATATGTGTGTGTGTGTGTGTTCCTGCCCCCCCCCCATCACCACCACCCCCAGATTTGGGTTTAAAAAATGTGGTCACCCTATCCATTTAAGGTGCTGCCCAAATACTGTCGATTTCAATGTAAATAAAGAGCTGGAAAGCAAACAGATGGGATATTACATGGCTCAAGTCAGTCAGTCTCTCCTCTCAACAAACCAACTCACAGTTACTCTTATAATTCACTCCCCACCCCCACAATCTCACACCCACCCAACCACCCAACACCCACCCACCCAACACCATCGTGTTCCTCTCCAAAACCCCAGGAACATAACCCAATTCCTTCCCTTCATTAGCAATGTGGCTCACGGCTCAATGCGTGATTTCAGGTCCTTGCACTGAACAGGGGGTGTGTGGGGGGGGGGTGTGGGGGGTGGGGGAGAGATGGTCTGGGGGTGGGTTGGGGGGTGGGGGAGAGATGGTCTGGGGGTGGGTTGGGGGGTGGGGGAGAGATGGTCTGGGGGTGGGTTGGGGGTGGGGGAGAGATAGTCTGGGGGTGGGTTGGGGGGGGGAGGAGAGTGGGTGGGGGTGGGGGGAGGGAAAGAAAAGGGGTTTCTCGTTTTATAATCGTCTCTCTCCAACACAGTGTCCCGGCTTTTTGCTGTTTTGTTGTTGTTGTTGTTGTTGTTGTTGTGTGTGTTATTTAAACGCCTTGAGGGGATTTTTCTGCTGTCGAGTTCAGCATTTCATCGATTCTTTCATCCTCGATGACAACTAAATAGACGGATAATCAGGAGACAGACAGACAGAGAGACAGAGAGACAGACAGACAGACAGACAGACAGAGACACAGAGACAAGAGACAAGAGACAAGAGAGACAGTTAATCAGAAAGGAAACACAACCCATGTTTGAGCTTTATCACCAGAATAAATAAAACCCTGTGAGGTGCGGATGGACAGATGTCCTGGGAAACATGCACTTACTATTATACACCGTCTGACACTTATTTTATGACTGATACCTGTGCTGTTCGTCTGCTCTGTCTCTCTGGCTATGGCCACACACCCTGTGCTGTGTACCCTCAACCCCCCAATTTGCTGATGGGGAATATCAGATACAGTTTGCGGGGCGCACGGTGTTTGCTGTGCGGATAAGCGGCTCGCACCCCACTTACCAACCCGAGGGAGGGGAAGGGGTGGTGGGTGGGGGGGTGGGGTGGGGGGGGGTGAAGGGATGATGTGCAACCGTGTTTACAAGCATCAAAACGAATGGGTCGCTCTCTAAGGGGAGAATGCAACATTCGCATTCGTTCTCTCTCTCTGTGTGTGTGTGTTCACCATCCATCGCCAGGGTTTGCAAAGGGGGTCGATTTAACACCAAAAAAAAGTTTAACACCGAACCCCCCACCACCCCTCAACCCCCCCACCCCACCAACCCCTCACACACACACACCTTTGCGCATCAGACACATATTATACGTTTATTCGTAAAATAACATGCAAACACCAACCCGGGAATTGCATTACTGTTGCATTATTTAAGCATCTGCATTGGAGCAGGAGAGAGAGAGAGAGGGGGGGGGGGGGGGGGGGGGGGGGAGAGAGAGAGAGAGAAAGAAAGAAAGGCAGAGAGGGAGGGAGAGAGAGAGAGAAAGACAGAGAGGCAGTAACTTTTTTTTACACACACACCACACACCAAAGACATGTCACATCAATATAGCTGTGAGCATCCACACACACACACACACACAAAACACACACACACAACACATGAAAACACTTACCCCGTTTGCTCCTTCCGATCTGCCCGAGTTTAGGGGGTCGTTTGCTTTGGTTGGACCCGAAAAAGTTGTTGGTGTCTTGCAGCCGACAAGTAAAGGAGAGTTTTCCGACGTCGTCGGCATCGCCATAATGCGCAATTTTCTCATCACCGTAAGGCAAGACCTCGGACATGGCTACTATTTATTTTTGGTGGTGGTGTCCTGTTGATGTTTGGCTGATGGGTTGGTTTGGTTTGGGATGTCCTGGTGGTGGTGGTGGTGGTGGTGGTGATGGTCGATCAACGTCAACAAGAGGAAGATAGCTTTGGGAGAAGATCTCTCCCTCTCTCTCTGTCTCTGTGTGTGTGTGTGTGTCTGTGAATAAAGGGTCTTTCTTTCTTTCTTCCTTTCTTTTTTTTTAAAGGGGGTGGGTGGGGGTGGGTGGGGGGGGGGTGTTGGGGTGGGTGCAAACGATGGGGAGAAATTGCAAACGGGCGTGTGAGGTTTTTAAGGGGAAAGTGCTTGGATCACAGCAGAGGTCGGTGCGCGTTGCATCTCATTTCCCATTCGCCCTCTTGGCGAAAAAAAAACAACACACACACACATACACCACAACTCACATCGTGTAAGATACCTCCTTCCTTTCTCAGCTCCCAAGGAACTTCCCACTATCTGCTGCTGCTGCTATCGTGGTGGTGGTGGCGGTGGTTTGTTTGGTGGTGGTGGTTGTTGTTGTTAATGATGATGGTCTTTTGAGAGCGATGTGTTTTGTGTGTCTGTGCGTTTTTGCACAGATTGCGCACAGGCTCTCTCTCTCTCTCTCTCTTTTTGGGGGGGTGGGAGAGGGGGGTGTGTGTGTGTGGGGGCTGGGAGGGTGGGGGTGATGGTGCTGGTGGTGGTGGGAGAGAGAGAGGGGGAGGGAGGTTTTAAAAAAAAACAGAGAGAGAGAGAGAGAGAGGCATCAACGCCTCATTAATTCAACTGCTCTGCTCTTGCAGCGTTTTGGGCACCGACTGATTGTAAGCTGCTCACGTTGTGTGGCTGTGTTTTTTTCTCTCTCTCTCCCTCCCCCCAGGCTTTCTAGGGATGGGTTGCATACACCGCCCCCCCCCCCCCCCACCCCATCACCAGCACCTCCACCTCCCTCCCTCTTTCTCCTCTTTGCACACGTTTCTGTACCAAACAACCAGGAGGCGAGTTGCAACCAAATCCGTTCCCACTGACCAGCTGTTTGGCGTGTGTCAATTCCACCAGCTGGTACTTTGCTGGGGGGGGGGGTGGGTGTTTGGTGGAGAGGGGGGGGGTATATGTGTGTGAGTGTATGTGAGGAGGGGGGGGGGTAATAGATCCAGGCAGAGAGAGAGAGAGAGAGAGATTAAAAAAGGTGATAAAGCAAATGGTACGACAAATGCGAAGCAAACCCCCCCCCCCCACCCCCCCCCCCCACATCATCACTGATGACAAAACATCACGCAGGCAGAGTCAGCGTGAATTCTGTGCAGATCGTCAAAAAAAAATTATGATTTTTCTTCCCCCACCCCCCCCCCCCAATTCCCCACTCCCCCCACCCTCTTTAATATCCCGGCCAGCATCCTTTTGCTGCAGAGAAATTGCAAAATATAAACATAAGAGATAAAACATCTGGAAGAAATGTACGTTTGCAGCAAACAAAAAAAACACTGCGTTAAAATTCAGTGTGTGAGAGAGTGAGGGGGGGGTTAGGGGTTGGTGTGTGTGTGGGGGGGGTGTGTGGGGTGGGGGGGAGGTGGTGGGGGTGGAATTGAACGCCAGTGAAATGGAAATTGATTTAATTCGCAGCTCGCATTATTAAAAAAAAGGCATCTTTTTTTTTGCCCCAATCGTTTAAATTCCTCGAGTTGTCGGTCGATTCGCTTAAACGTTAAATGCTTTTTCTGGAGGTTCGTTTCCCCCTAAAAGGTGTTGGGCGGAGGGGAGGGGGTGGGGGAGGTGCGTGGGGGGGGGAAATGAGAAGAGATTCCAGTGTTTTTTTGGGGGGTGAGGGCAAAATTGGTGATTTTCTCTACCTCCTCACAGTCGCATCAATCAACTAAATTGAGGGATATGTCGCCTCCTACCCTGGGAACCTGTCATCTCAAATATACAGTCACTTTACTTTACGGTGTATATTCCGTGAAGCGCTTCGAGACGTCTCAACGGCGCGATAAGGCGCTGCATCAAACGCCCGGACCATTATCGTGTCTCCCTGTGGAGCGGCGAGAGACTGAGACGCAATAATATTTGCAACTTGTTCCGGCCTTAAAATTCTTAAAACGCTTTTATTTATTTTTATTTTTATATAAAGCACATTGATCGGGAGTCGAGCGCAACACAAGACACGAGGCGGGCTCCTGTCGTCCCCTGCTGGTGGTGAAATTCTTGCCAACCGTCGTTTTATCTACTCCGCACGAGGATAAGGTTATCATCGATAAAAAGACTCCTCTCCTCTGGCGCCGCTCGAAGAGAGGAGGTAGTTTCTCCCGGTGTCCTGGCGACCAATCGCCCCGATAAACCTGGCCATCCACTTCATGGCTGCTTGTGGGACGGAGCTGCGTGTCAATCGCCTGCTGCGTTCACCTACGAACGATCACCAGCCTCGCATTTGACACAGCGCCTCATCGCGTCCTTCGAGACGTGCCTCAAAAGCGCTTCGCGGGACAGACCGCGAAGTCAATTGGACCGTACAATTTTGCGAGTGAAACGCGGCCGTCGTGGGTTGAGTGACCCAATTTATTATTTTTTTTACACACACGCGCACAAGTCACTGCACTTTACAGTGGATCCTGTAAAGTGCTTTTCAGATGTTTCGATGACGTGATAAGGCACAATATCAAATGCAATCACTGCCCTGCTGCACGGTGCTTTGAGGATCAGCGAACTAGCTTCCTGGCTACTGATATGTGAACGACTGAGGGAATGCCTTTGTTCTGCCGCATCGCCCTCAGCTATAACACAGCTACATCAAAGCGCTTACAGAAGATTAATACGACATCCGAATGGTCCTAAGTGCTGCAGTGCAGTTACAAATCACAGGGAGAGACGATGTATGGAATCCTTGAAAGCAAAACAGTGGAATGCTCTGTATATAATCCTATAGATTGAGGCAAAGTGCCAGACAGAAACCTCCTGAAACTCCGTACAGCCATTGACAATGATCTGCGTCTTGCAGCAATGATTTTTTTTTACTTCTTACTGATGCCTTTTTTACCTTTGCCTTTAGGAGGAAAAGAGCTGGAAAGGGTAGAAAACTGGATGAGGCAAATTGGCAAAGGTCCTTTCTCTTTTCTCTCTCCCCACCCCCTTTTCTCAGGTAGTCATGCGTCTGTTAATATGTGAAAAGACTTCCTCTGTCTTTTCACAGGGCTTCCCTCAGAAGCACACACAAACGCTTCATCAATTTTTTTCTGTCAGATACTGATTTAACAGGTAGGAGAGTGGATTAGGAGTGGAGGGCCTCATTTGATAATATTTCCCAACCAGGAATTGTGGCATCACTTGCCTCACCCCCAACGCAGCCCATAATCTTTCCACTTTCTCTGGCCTTCTCACCCCCACAAGCTCCATACAAACCAAGAACTCTGCTCCGCCACAGCACAGGAGGCCATTCGGTCTATCACACCTGTGGTGGCTTGGGGTAAAAGAGGGATTATAACAATCCTTGCATTTGATTCGTTGCCCTCATCATGTTGGGAGGAAGTCTCAAAGTGCTTCACAGGATTTACTAAGTGACTGTGACTACCTATCGCTGTAGACTCTCTCCTGTAAAGCGTGAAAAAAACATGTAAAATAGTGGCAGGTGGTAATCTGTACATCAGGTGCTGGTCTGGCTCAAAACCAAACATAACTACACTGCTGTTTTGTACATAGCCCCAAGCGCTCGATCTTATATTTGGGAATTGGCGATAAGGCAGGAATATTTATTGCTATGTCACTGGTCATGATGTTCTTCCACCTTGGTTCTTGCACAAGGCAAATTGGCCCCAATGACTGATTGCTCGGGAGGCACAAGGTTAAACATCAGATCAGCTTCTGAAACGGACAATGCCAACTTACATTTATATAGCGCCCTTCAGCTCGGATAAATCATCAGAGCACTTCACAGGGATGATGTTGGATGCCAGGCAAAAGGGGGTGGGGATGGGGTGGGGGGTGGGGAGGCAACCGTAGGCGTGATCAAAGAGGCAAGCTTTAAGGTGGGATTCAGTCAGAGAGAGAGAGAGAGAGATGGAGCTGTAGAGCGAGGGAGTTCTAAAGGACAGGAGCAAAGATGCTGAAGCTCAGACTAGGCTTTTTAGTTTGCTTATCAAAGGCAATTGCTGACCATCCAGACATCACTTGCCACTTGCTTAAATCACATCCATCCACTGCGAAGCGACAGCCAATCCTGTGTTCAACACACACACACACACACACACATACACAATGATCCTGGGAATGGTCGTAGAGACACCAGTTTAAAAATCAATGGTGAAAGACATTTCTTCTCATTAACCTTTGCGAATTCCACATCGTGTTCTGGCTTCCCCCTCCCACCCCCACCTCCCTCATCCCGACACCAAATCGCACGTTATATAAAATGTCACAGGTGAATGAATATATTATGCACCGTAAAAAATTGATTCAGGAGCGAGAGACCAGATTTAAAGGGAACGAGTTGGACTGTGGAATAATGGAACAGGGACTGTCTGGAGATGAGGATTTAAATGGTAGTTCTGATCCGGTGGAGGGAGGGAAGGATAAAGCAGCTGTGGGGTAACGTGGAACATGCAGGAAACACCAGAGAGCAGAAAAGATGAGAACAATTACTTCATTTTTTTTGGCATAAAATAATCACAACTGCTGATCAGAGATTGAAAACAGTCATTAAATCCGCAATGTCTCTGAATGGATTCCTTATTAAGGAACCCCGTTGACTCGGTTAGAGAAACACCGCAAACTATAGCCACCCACTGCATCCGCGTTTATATACGGCACCTTTATTGTAGGAAATAAATCCCCGTTTCCCCACCACCCCCCGCCTTGCCACCTCCCCAAGTGAACGAAGGGCCGGGGCAGGTAGGCCATCACGCGCTGGTAGGTCCCAACCCCACCGCCACTGCCCGAAGAGTTTTAACTGTTGTACAACGGCACGACTCGGGAGATGAAGTCTCTGCAAATGGGGCACTTTTTGGGGGAGGGCAAAGCCCGGTAGCACTCGTGGCACGAGCAGACGTGCCCGCACTCCAGGAAGACGCAGGATCGCTCGCTCGCCAGGCAGATGCTGCAGGCGGCGGGCGAGACGTCGGCCTCCTCGCCCTTGCCCAGCTCCCGCATGCGCCGGCTCTTGGCCTCCGCCATCTCCCGGTGCAGCCGCCCGCGCTCCTGCTCGCTCCGGAAGCGCCTGTAGCGCCTGCGGAGGATGAAGAAGGTGGTGGCGCAGGTGACCAGGCCGAACAACAGCGTCAGCGCTTTCCACAGCTTGACCTTGTTCTCCTGCTTGCGAATCAACGACTCAAAGTCCACTCGGCTCAGGTAAAACTGCAGCCCTGGCTTCGGGGGCTGGAGCTTAATGAAGTTATTATCCAACACCAGCTCCCCCACACCGGTCACTAGCTCCCTATCCCTCAGCATCTCCTCCGTCTCCTTGATGCCCTTCGGCCTCTCGCCGCTGATGTAATGGCCGATGATATCCGTGAAGGTCTGGACCGTGGGATGGAACTTCTCGTATACCGTCTCCAAGTCCAGCTCTGTGGCTTCCAAGGGCTTGTTGACCCTCACTGCTATCCCAGCGCTGCCGTTGGGAGGCACCAAGTCGAAGGGTACGGTGTTAGTCCTTTGATGAATGACCTTTTCGCAGTCGTTCCTGTCCCGAAGAAAAACAGGATGAGATCCGCACGGCATCCTCTCGCTCACAGCCAAGCGATGTGGTCACGCCTCCCACTCACAATGGCGGTCGTGTAAATGAATTGTGACATAAACCGGTAGATCGACTTATTCATTCGAATGATAAACACAGCGCCCTATCCCAGCAGACGTCTTGAGAGCCTTTCGCAGGCAGTACCGTCACGTAAGGCATCCTCAAAATGCTGCAGTTGAGCAGACGGAGGAACAATCTGGCTCGCGGATCACGTGTGACGACAGGCGAGTGGGACCCCCAGGTTCTTAAGCGCTCTGGGACGCTATACTGTGCGAGGGGCACTATATAAATGCAAGTTGTTGTTGTTGACTTAGCATCCCGCTATATCTGTGTTCAACAACACCACCACCACCAAATTACACTTGTATTGCGCCCTTCACGTCAGAAAGACGTCCCAGGGCGCTGGACCCAAGCTGGGAATTGGGGTCAGGAGGGGTGGAGGGCATGGGGGTGGGGGGAGGTGGGAGTAGAAAGAGAAAGAAGAAATACCATACCAACACCATGGCCAGGCTGCTCCAATTTTATTGCCAAGATCCCCATGTGTGGGGCGGGGGGAGAAAAAAACGAGACCCGCATCTGACCCCTTCGCTAAATATACCCCCACCCCCGCAAATCACACCCCATCGAGAGCGCTAACTGAAAGGAACCGCCGGCCGAGACTGGGAAACGTAGGCACGTGAACATGAGACATGCTTCAAAGTAAAAGTTGATCAAAATAAACTCCTCTCCCCGGCCAGGCTCTGCACACGTCTCACTTACCAGAGGTGAGTGGTTCGATTCCACACCATTTTATGCTCTTGTAAAACCAGTCGCTGTATCACCCCTTTGCAATTATCCACAAACTGGCTGTCGAGAGTCTCTTTGACGGATTTAACCATACCTGAAACCAACAGGAGCGTCTCGCAATCAGCTCCCAGTCACAATCACTGAGAGCGCAAACTGACCTGCAGTGTTTACGGCACTTCAAAACCCACCGCGAACCGCTTGACAGTAATGAATTTCAAGTGACAAGTCTGTAGGCAAACGCGGCAGTTGTGTAATGCCAGGCACCGACCGCTGGAGAGTGACTGACAAATTAATCTGCAGGATTGTCTGGCAGGACAGTGGGGAGAGCAACTTTCTGTTTTTCAAATGATGTGCCGGGATCGGAGTTTCACCCACAAAACACACCCACTTTACATAATTATCCCTGAAGCGCTTTGAGACGTCTCTCAACGAGGTCTCGAGGGGCGACATCAAACGCAAGAGTCGTGACTAATCGTTAAATTAATAATTAATAATACTAGTAGTGTCGTGTAAACGGTACCTTCCACCACTGCGTACGGAAGGCATTTCCCAGGAGCGTTGAGCAGAATAATCTTGAGTTCCTGGTCTAGTGCGAACTTTGGTGCCTCCTAACAAGAAAAGATATTGTTAAAAGAGCTTAACGTCACCTTGACTGGCGGGACTGTGCCTTCCAGTGTTGCGGAGTTTCTTTCGCTGATGTGTTCATCTCCCGCCCTCAACACCCCCCCCCCCCCCCCACCTAATGCCCCTCCCTCCCTCCTCAGGAGCCCCTCCTCCCTCCTCAGGAGCCCCTCCATCTCTCCTCAGGGGCCCCTTCATCCCTCCTCAGGGGCCCCTCCTCCCTCCTCAAGGGCCCCTCCCTCCCTCCTCAAGAGCCCCTCCTCCCTCCTCAGGAGCCCCTCCTCCCTCCTCAGGAGCCCCTCCTCCCACCTCAGGGGCCCCTCCCTCCTCAGGAGCCCCTCCGCCCTCCTCAGGAGCCCCTCCATCCCTCCTCAGGAGCCCCTCCTCCCTCCTCAGGAGCCCCACCTCTCTCCTCAGGGGCCCCTCCTCCCTCCTCAGGAGCCCCTCCTCCCTCCTCAAGAGCCCCTCTTCCCTCCTCAGGGCCCCTCCCTCCCTCTTCAGGGCCCCTCCCTCCCTCCTCAAGAGCCCCTCCTCAGACGCCCCTCTTCCCTCCTCAGGGGCCCCTGGGAGGCCTCCCTCCCCCCACCCCCCTCCCCGGGAGCCCCTCCCGCCGGCTGACCTGTAGGCCTCGGACGGCGGTCGCTCGCCGGCGGTACAGGGAGTAGCAGAGGGCGGTGAGGGCCGAGCTGGTGGCCAGGAGCAGCCATTGCGCGGCCGAGGCCCTGCCGCCCGCCTCCATCAGCCTCTTCCCCGCCCACTTCCGGTTTCCGGCTTCCGGCCGCGGCCCAGACGACCCCGGAAGTAGCCCGAAAAGTAGCCCCAAAGCGCCCGCTCCCCCAAGGGCCCGGGGGGAAGTAGCCCGGATAGCCCGAAAGTAGCCCGAATTGTCCGAAGAGTAGCCCCAAAATAGCCCAAGAGGACAGGTGGTGTCAGAGCCCCCTCCATAGTCATCATCATCATCAACATCAACACTGCTCCCCCAGCACTTCACTATAATATAAGACAATAAAAATTATAATAATAATAATACGTGCGTTTCACCCACAAATATACGGTCAATTCGCTTGACGGTATGTTCTGTGAAACGCTTGGGAGACGTCGACAAGACGCAAGGATTATTATTATCATTATTATTATTATTATAATCCTTGCTCTTGATACAGCGCCTGTAACACGTCTTCGACACGTCTCAGAGCCCTTCACAGAATGTACTGTAAAGTGCGTCGACTGGTGGGCGTAACCTACTACTGCTACTACTAATAATAATAATCCTGATATTTGGTGTAGAACCTTCTTTGGCCGTGCTTTCGTTCACCCGCCCTTCCCTTCCCTTCCGACACCCCACTCTCCCCGATCCCAGCTCGGGTCCGAAGCACCGACCGTCCAGCACCTTGGGACCTCCTCCCGACGTGAAAGGCGCTTTACACGTGCAAGTTCGTTTTTGTTGATGATGTTATGTCCCAAGTTGAAAAAACACAACATTCGCCGCCTCCCCGCCCTTACGTCCCGAGTTGAAGAAACACACAACACCCTCTCCCTTCCGTCCAGAGTGCAAAATGCACGTAACCTCCTCCATCTTACGTCCCAAGGCAAAAGAACATGCAACAGCCACCACCACTTATATCTCTAGTCAGAAAAACAACCGGCTGTCAAATAAAAATGGTTTGCATGACATTTTCCTCTCCCCTCCCTATACATCAACACATAGGTTTGCGTCTCATTTGCATCCTCAAACAATGGTTGCCAGATTGGGTGTACTTTTGTTGTACAGCTTTGACCTAATTCCAAAATAATTTATATTGAACCTTGCAAAATGGTTCCCCCCTTCCCTTGAATGACCTTTCCTTAACAATTTCAAAAGCACTGACGTCAATTGGCCACTCTGCTACACAGACCAACGCATAACATTGACCTACTTTTGGGGTTGTATTTGGTGGAGGACTTTGGGCTACAAATTTTAATTTTTGTCCTCTTTTTTTGGGGTGTGAATGACACCCACGGAAACCCATCACGGAGCTTAAGAGTATCCAAATCGAATGACGTTCCATGTATCCCACCTGCACATGGAGATACCCGTGGAATGCACACACTCTCATCCCGCTTACCTGATTCCGGAGAGTATTTAGCCTCAGGTTGGCAGGACCCAAGGCTTGGGGTTGGGGACCCCAGAGTGTGTATTGGGGTAACTGCTTGGAGTTTAACCTGTTGGAACTGCACAGCTGTCCATTGAAAGTACTGCCTGTCAAGCCTGCTGCTTATACAGCTTGGACCACCCTACCCATTAAGGCTTGGACTTGCAGGGTTAACAGGAGCTGAAGAAAACTCAGGCCCTGTGACCAGCTAAGTCCTACTGACAACCCAGGCTGGTTGAGCTTTCATTTACAGTGCCCTGGAATATTGCAGACACACCTGGCTATAAAGAACATACAAAAAAAAATCCTTGCCTTCAGCGATACAACACAACGTTACGTGTTTTTTCAGCTCGCAGCAGATCGTCTTTGCAAACAACTTGATGGAAAATTAAAATAAATTTGAATACAAGTGGGGGGAGGGGGCCAATTCAACCCCTCCGTTTACCCAATGGATAGACAAGTTGAAAGACTGAATTTGTTTTCCACTCCAACACCATATCACATGCTCCCAGCTGAAAATGGAAAATGATCTCATTGCGTTTCACTGCTTCCAGTGTGAACATTCACTGCACTAGGTGGCAGCCTCGGCCGTAAACTGATGACAGGTTAATCGAAGAAGACAACTAACTATGAGTTTGCTTTCTTTTTTTAAAAAAAATGCTGACAATTCTCTGGGTTATTGTTATTTAGCTCCAGGAAAAATTTAGCTAAATTTTAGTTGGATTCCCCCCAAAAAACATATAGAAGGGGCAAAGATTTTTGAACGCATGAATATTCTCTACTTCTAAACATGCCAAGTAACAATAATAATAATCTTTGCATTTCATACAGCACCTTATCACATCTTCAAGCCATCGCAAAGCGCTTCACACAATATACTGTAAAGTGAATTGACTGTATATTCTTTGGAGGAAATGCAAGCAAGCAATTACAGGGAACAAAATTCTACCTAATAATAGCAAAATATAAGGTTGTAATTTGGTTTTAAATGCTTAAAAATTCAGTTTTTGGACACCTGTTCTTTTTAAGAACGGGGTGTGGGGGGGAATTGTTGTTTTTCAGGCGAAGAGAAGTTGGAATTTCAGATCTCAGGACTTGTAGCATTGAACGTTCACGTCTGATGGTGCGGAGAATTAGCAAAGCGGTTTATTCCGATATCCAGTTTTCTTTCTTAATCAGCAGGAAATATGATGGCTGGGCATCTCAGACAGAAATGACGGCAATGCTCGTGTGTTATTTCCGAGGTTTATTTTTTATATACCCTCAAGAGTTGTGAAAGAACACCCGAAAAACAGGCAGAAACGGTCTCGATTGCCACACTGCCTGCCCTGCGCGTAAATCAACCGTTGCTCAACCGCCAACTGTAGCGAATATTGCATTTAGTAGAAATATTTTATTGCCCAAACGTATCTACGGTAAACCATATACATTACATACAAGTATATACACGCAGGCTCGTGCTTGCTCGCTTCCGACGGCTTCCTGAAGTTTTCAAAAGGCCACAACAAATTCCAAGTACCGGTTCGACAAATTAAAGACGCAAGGTTGGCTTTTATTTTTGTCCAGTGTTAAAATAAATAATGGGGGGAAGGCGGGTGGTGGGGGTGGGGGAAAGAGGGTCAAGGGGATCGATGCCTGATACGACTTTACGGGCTGGCATTCTCGAGACGGCAAGTTTCCCTTCCCAGAAGTTCCATGTCAGGCTCCACACACAAACACACACAGGATTTACCATTCAGTTGGCAATTTCCTACACTTTCTTTCCCCCCCATCTTCACGTTTTGGGGGGGAGGAGGGGGGGAATCCTCGGGGTTGGCCGAGGAGCAGAAAGGGATTCCCCGTTTTGTGGGGGGATCATTGTCAGTGGTGCCCAAAGACGTAGATGATCACCTCGTACGTTGTCATCATGATGGCAGTGTTTGGAATCTGGCGAATCAACTGGGCTTGTAAACCCCTGTAGAAGGCACTGTAACCTTCCTCCATTGCCACAACCCTCGCGGTTTGCAAGAACGTCTTGTACTTTGTGCCTTCCTCCCGTAATCGCGTCCTTATCACCTCTGAAACACAGGAAAAGAACGAAACTCAGGCTTTTTGCCTCCCCGTCTCTTCCCCGCCCCATCTTTCTCTCTGCTAAAGCAAATAAATTCCACATAGTCCCAGTTTTAATATCGTTGGCTTCAAATTTTAATTTGCCTCTAATTTTGGAAGCAGTTTTTTTTAATATAACAATAATAATCTTGCATTTCATATAGCGCCCTTTCATGTCATTGAGACGTCTTAAAGCACTTCACAGAATATACTGTAAAGTGAATTGACTTGTGTATTTTGTAGGCGAAACGCAGCAGCCAATTGGGCACAGCTGCGTTCCCACAAACAGTCGTAGATTGAGTGACCGGATTATAAAAGTGAAAACATTGCAACTCAGCAAAAGTACCAAACCCCTGTCCTTGGCACCAAACAGAGGGACTTATCACTGAAATCCCCATTCACGCAGCGTAAACTGCCAAACATTTGCTTGTTTTTGTGTTCAATGATTGGTGGAAGCCAAGTCACCAATTCTCCCTCCCCTTTTAGATGTGGATAAAGTCTACGTTTGGCTGTGGAACAGGACTCGAGAGGGATTTCGTTCGGACTTGGGGACAATTTCACAAAACGCTTTTGTTCAATTCGATTTTAAAGAGCCCTGCGCTGGCCAGCACACACTTACACCAGAGGCAGGGAGTTTATTGTATTTGGTCACTCGGTCCGCGACTGTTTGTGTGGGACGCTGCTGTGTGCAATTGGCTGCTGCATTTCTCCCACACAATGCAGCCAATTCACTTTACAGTATATTCCGTGAAGCGCTTTGAGACGTCTCGACGACGCGATAAGGCGCTGTATCAAATGCAACGGTTATTATTATTGTTGTTGTTATTATTTTGAATGGTTATGGATGTTTTATAGTTTGGTGTTGCAGGCTGGGCTCCCACTCCGAACGTTGTAGGTTTCAAACGGTGCAATTTGCACCCTATTTTTTTTTAAAAAAAACCCAACCACCGAGTGGAAAACCAAACGTAGCGCAGTGTTTGTCTGCCGTTAAAAAAAAAAAAACACATGCGTGCGCACACAGACCCGAGGACACTCACCGTGGGGGTAAGCAGCACAAGATGCACAAGTCTTTGAAAAGCCAGCAGCGAGCATCAGTCCTAGAAAGTCTGAGGCCGTTTTATCCGTCTCTCGCGAGTTGAACCTCGATTTCTCCAAGTGTTTCTTTATGGCTTCGTACGTGACAAAATGAATCATAGTCTCAGAGATCCCAGCGTAGGAGGCTGTCAAGCCCCTGTAAAAGCCCTTGAAACCTTCGGCTCGATAAACGTGCTTTGCGCACTGGAAAGCGTTCATCACCTTCTCGCTCCGTTTTCTGGAAATAAGAGACGGCAAAAACCACCGGTTAGAATAAGGCGAGGACTTAGAATGAAGAGGGACTCGGCTGTTGGTCTACCGGGTCAACTCCCTTTTGCGATGGGAGTCGCTGTGGATCCAGTCTGCCTGGACTTAGCCGGATGTGAACCAAAGGTCTCTTCTTCCGCTCACTCACACCCCTCCCCTTCCCCCACCGGTAGTTCAAAAAGTGGAGTTTCCCCATCTCAGATATATATCAATAATAACAACAATAACGCTTCTATTTGATACAGCGCTTTATCACGTCATTGAGACGTCTCAAAGGGCTTCACAGAATATACTGTAAATTGGGAATCGACCGCATATTTTGTGGGGGAATCGCCCGAGGAGCAACTGGAAGCACTTGAAGAGGTTGGTGGCTTCGGGCGCAGTGCACGGGAAGCGACATCGGCGCTGACCGACATTCCCGGGAGTGCTGATCGGCATTCTTAGATCCTCCGTTTAAAAAAAAACGAGGTCTGATTTTATGGGCCCCCCAGTCCATTGCGTTATAACTGTCTGATTGTATGGCCTTACCTGCTCTCCAGCTGCATTCTGGTTTTGACCAGCCAGATAGGGTTCATCAATGTGTTTGTGATGAAGCCTAGAATAAATAAAAAAAGAATAAGTTAGGTTTCTTTCCATTCCACCAATTCTGATACAGTTAAGCAGCTTGATGTCTTGATGGGGGTTGGAGAGGTAGGGTGGGTAGCAGGGTGGGGGGGGGGGCTGGGGTTGATCTGGAAGGATGAGCCAAAGGGCCTTCTTCATCCAAACCAATCTTTTGACTACCATCAAATCTCAATGGGGTGCAATTCTCAGAGTGCTGTGACCGTAAAACAGCTTAAAATCTTTACAACAAGAGTTACAATCCACCACGTTAGTGCCAGCAACATCGCTATGGTTGTCTACGGTTATGAATGTTAACCAAAATAATTTTTTTTTAAATCGCATAACACAAATATATTTTTTGTTGCACGAGGGGTCACAGCGTAAATGCCAATCGTTGTTGTTGATCTCCCCAAAGATTCCAGGTGTTGGAAGTGGAGAAGATTCGATCGAAAAGCAAATAAAATATTTGGGAGCATCAAGGAATTTGAAAAGAGATATATGTCTATCTACTCTTAAGTAAGTTCTACTACAAACAATGAAAAGGTACAATTGGTAAACGAAAACGCCTGGGCACGTACTTGCAAATCCAGCAGAACACATGTGGACTAAATTAGAGTGTGGCACGAAGACCGTGTTGCAATGCTCCTTGGCTTTGGAGTAGGCTGCAAAGTAGATTGCCCTGCGGGTACACAAAGGGAAATAGAAACGTGAAATGTCCACTCGTCACAAGCTGAGCAAAAAGGTGGCCACCACCTGCAGGTATTTACGGTTCAGAAGCAGACTAAAATGAAACTCCCTCGCCCCTTTAAACAAAAATAAAGATCACGGGATTCTTAGCATCAACCGGCAGCACAAGCAGTGGGGGAGCTTGGATTAATGACGGCTATAAAGGACAGCACTTCTGATAAGTCACATAGTGAAACCTTTGATTAAGGTTGTTATAAAAGGAGGTGCCTAGGCCAGCAACAGCAAGGGGGTAGGTATGTTCCACACCATGTTCAAAAAGGACAGATGTGAATATAAAACGTGGAAAGAACCAGTTGGTGGTGGTGACCAAATGCATCTGACACGTTCAAGTGTTTGATCCCTGATCGACTGCAATTCCTTTCAGTGAAGTCAAAGGCGGGTATAGGCCAAATGCAACCAGGCAAACATGTATGCCCCCGGCAGATAAAGCAAAGAATGGGACACGGTGAGTCACGCCCAATATTCTGGCTCCCAGGCAGCAACGTTCAATGCGTTTCACCCCCACTGAACACCACAAGCAATTTACCTGGATGGAGCAACCCCAATTAGGTTGGGTCCCAGACCTCTGAAAAGCGACCTTGGCCCCTCTTTTTCCAGGATCATTCTACAAAAAAAAAGTCAGGAGAGAAAAAAAACATTAGAAACTTCGGCAAAGTAAAAAGGGAGGTCACCAGGTCAATTCGCACAGCGGGTACAACCCTTTAGAGGTCGAAGATGAAGCAACCCAGTAAATATCCTAAGAGATCGGGTTCTCCTACGTTGTGCTATTAATCAGTAGGAGCCGATGGCATTCTGGTTTGTACAAATGCCACGGAATCAGATGGGATCGTATCTCGTCCCTTAAAACGCGTACTTCTTTGACTGCGCTTTCAATCATCTTTCCCCTCCCTACCCCTGGCTCAGGTGCACATCCAACGCTTTGGGACGTCTTTGCATTCCCCTCCAAAAAACATGCGTTTAAAAATCACCCGGGAATTTTTGGGACGCCCAATCTGTTTCACTCCCTCAAGTCCCCCCAAGTTACGTGAGCCAAATGGTGCATTTCCTCCACACTGGGGCTCCTAATCTTTGAAGCTTTAGAAAAAATTCCAACTTAAACAGCTATTCTTCTCTTGCAAACATTCACTCGCTTGAACGATAACATTGTCTAAATGAGTTGTGCTGGTAAACAAGTACGTTTTCCTTCTTTTCTTAAATTTAAAAGAAAACTCAACAAAGAGATTTAGATGGGAGCTTGAAAAAAAGGAATGTCGAAGGGTATTCTAGAGAGCAAGCAGGAGAGAGAGGGAGAAAGAAAGAGGAGAAATTAAATTAGTTGACTCGTGTGGAGAAAAACACCAGACTTGATGAAAAAAGGCCCATTCTCGCTTTAACGTTCTACGCGGGGGGTAGGGGGGGGAGGGAATAGGAAAAATACTTTGCACTACCATAAAACAAAGTTTTAGTGCTTTGAGACATCTTCCTGATGTGAAAGCCGCTATATAAATGTAAATGATCCCGAGCTGCCAAGACCCAGTGGACAGCTCAACCTCAAAATTCCAATTGCTACATTAATGTTTTATTTTAATATTAGAAATCAGGCAACCACAACATGCCAAACGGGCACTGGTTTAAGACCAATGGTTTAAGAGTAGAACCTCAACCAGAGGCGAAGAGGGGCAGTGCTTTTTCTGCCTTATAGATCGTGCCCAAGGATTCCAGTTGGCAGGCACTAAATTGCTGAACACAGGGCTATTCAATGCTTTTCTTCTCCATTCTCAGCCGCAGCAAGTGCTGAGATTGTAAAATGGTAGGATTAGAAGCAGCTTAACTCAGTTCAGATCCAGGCAAATCTCCTGCTCTGCACAGCTCAGTAACACGGCAGAGTGTATTCACCCATTGAGGCCCCTAAATGCAACAACGACAGCTTACATTCGCAACTTTCCATGGTGTTATTTACCAGATTGCCCAACCTGGCACATAATTCAGAGAAGGTGAACGAGAGAGAGAAAGAGAGGACTCAGAGAGGGAGAATTACGTTAAACGTCTCAAAGAGCCTCACAGGTCATTTGTGTCAAGTGTAACTATGTGTGGGCACACGCACAACAACTTGCATTTATATCGCGCCTTTCACACGGAGTACCATCCTGGAGCACTTAAACACACACACACACACACACAGAGCAGTCAATTTGCCCTTGTCCTGGGCAATTTAACTGGAGGATTATTGTCCAGGACTCCAGGACAATCTCCCCTTTCTTGTCAAATCATGCCATGATTCTTAATGTCCTCTGCAGCCAGAAGTTCTCTTTACTGTGTCTCCCTGTGCCAGTCTCCAGCTGTCGGAGCAGCATTTTGGGGGTGATCACACGGTCTGATCTGACTGGGGGAACCTCCCTCTACCGTTGCACCAATTGGAAACTGCGTCATATGGGAAACAAAATATTGCGCGCCTGTCCTGTCATTTTCAGCCCAGTCAACAAGTCGCAAATAACCTGTTGGGCTATAAATACAGCAGAGATTTCGTGACCCTGCAGCCCGTGACAGCAACCTCGACTCTGCACGTCTACAACCAGACATTTTCCAAAGTGAAGGGGTTGGGGGGGGGGGGGAGAGAGGCGTAGATCAGCAAGATCAGGATGTGAAAAACTAGCTGATGAGGTTGTCCCTGGGCTGGGAACACTGCAGCCCTCACATCCCGATTCCAGCTAGCACAGCACAAGCCAGAGATCAACCCTTGGTCTATGCAGTTCAGTCTCCGTAAAGTGCCTTTACCTGACAAGCTATAAGTGGGATCCCATTATTACTGCAGTTATCTGTAGCTGACTATGAAACAGAAAATTTCCTGGCAATGCTTGCTCTTAAGGGTGCAAATCCTTGACCTTCCAGCGCCTTGGGACGTCCTCCTGACGTGAGAGGCGCTTTACAAATGTAATGCGTTGTTATTATTGATAATGAGGGAAAATAAAATGGGGATGAGTGGGTGAGGGTGGAGAGAGAGAAGACACAACAAAGAATTGCAAGACGAGACGAGTCAATTCACATTATATCAGCCAGATATGGAAATTAAAACCCCAGGCTGCTTTTCAGTTCTACCTGAAACATTTAGCGCCTCAAGAGTTTCAAAAGAACTTGTACCGCAACAGGGTGTGAGTCAAGAAGCACACTGTACGCCCAATGTGTATTCATATCTAGAAGAGCTTATCTGATTGCCAATTCCAAGCAAGGTTGCTGTGGGCGACCAGGAGCTTTGCAGTCGCCACTGAAGCCTTTTCATAGACCAACATCGGCGCTTCTGTTGCTGCTCCATCCCCAGTAGTTATAGCAAGTTTAAAGTCCCCACCCCCACCACACACACACACACACACACAACACGCGATTAGAATAGTTTTATTTTCCTGACGTGCTTCACCATCATCAGATAAAGCTGGGTGGGAAGTTCCTTCCTTTTCGCTGCCTCAAACCAGACATCAAAACCCATTTGGGAAGAGAACGCGGACGGTCACAGTGTCCTGGCCAACGATCCCGCAGGGAGGTCCGCGAGACCTCGCTGGGTCCACCAAGTCACTACGCCCGACAAGAGACTACTTTGATAAGATACTTTGAGACTACGCTTTGATAAGGTGCAAGAAAAATGGCATGTTCTCTCCAATGGTTTTTTACTGAAATTACAAGGCAAAAAAAACACACACACACACAAACAAACAAACAAACAGCTGACGTACTTTAGAACCTGGAAAAGTCCTGGTGCGACCCGCGTGGGACGAACAACACCCGGTCCATTGATTGTGTTGAGGTTGACCTGTGGAATGTAGACTTGACGGAGCGTCAGACCAGAAGACTGGAGTCTGGTCTTGATCACTTCCAATGGGCACGTGACAATGGCTCCCACTGTCCCTCCACACCTGTGGGTAAAGCAGAGAACCCGAGTCAAGATACGCACTGGAACACAGGAGATGTTACAGCCCCCGGAAACGATTCTCCTACATACAATTCAGTTACAAGACGTGGTATCATCAGTGCACTTTTTTTTAAAAAAAAGAGAGATCGAGCCACACTGATATTACCCAATCCCTCACAGTTCAGCCCTCTTAAAATCTACAGATCTCAGATCTTGCCAGCCTCAGACATGTTCCGAAAGGCTGTGTGAAAAGCAGCTCCGACATTGGAGAAAAGCAAGGTTTTCTTCCATCTTCCTGATTAACTGTTCGTTCACCTTGGTGCTATCTGGAGGATGGACTCGGCTTTGAGCACCCTGATCGCTTCATTTACTTACAAACCGTTCCTAAAGTTACAAATGCGTGCACGCACAGATACCATTAAAAAACAAATCGTGGCATTTATCTTTACCTTCACGGGAGGCAGCTTTCACTGAATAAATTTAGCGCAATCGCAATATGGCACAAGTCTTTACTAAAAAAAATAGGGGTTGATCTACAGCAATTAATGGCTCGGTCAAAATGGTGCTCAAAAAGCAGTCAAGTTAACTAATCAGTGAACCAGATTGTTTTAAAAAACACACACACACGCAAAGCAAATAAGCAATACCACCAATGAACTACAAGTCCCAGATGTTTGAAGGAAGCTGCAGTCTGGTGTAGGCTTCGGTACAGAAGGCCCTGCACCATAAATAGCCACAGACATGCAGTCAATTCCCCATCTTGATTTCTGTTCAGAGAAATGTCATTTCCTAGTCCTCTTACAACAATAAACCTCCTCACGCACACGCACGCACAAGGTCAAACATACACACGGGTTACAAAACAACCAACGTTGTGGGGGGGCGATGGGGGGAGGGGGAATATGAGCAGCGACACACCGCCCCAAATAAAGACTCCAATCACGGAAATCATAAATGGGAATAAAGTCTCGAACCCTTTACCCTTACAATACAGGGTCGTATGTTGAGCAGGGGAATGATTTTTTTTTGAGGGGGGTGGGGGGGGGGGGAGGGCGAGAGAGAAACGGAGAGAAGTGACTAAAGACGGTGTTAAAGAGATAGGGTTTTAGGTGGGTAGAGAAGGGGGCAAGGCAGAGGGGTAGAGGTAGAAAGTTCCAATAGTTGATGGGTCTCGCCCTTTGAAATAATGTAAATGCGACAATAAATACAAGGACTATTTGTTACAATCATTGCATAATACACAGAGCTAACTGTTGGGTTAGCTGGAGCAGTTATCTGGTTAACTGGAGCAGATTTTTTTACGAATGAAATGTGTACTCGCACGTTTGTGTAAGATATTAGGGCAGAGAGGATACAGCACAACCACTTGAGGCATCGCGGTGTGGTATTGGTGCCAGCAATGTAGAGAGTGGAACCCCATTGTTTCTCGCCCAACATTCATAGTTTGGAAAAGCCAATATTCCTTGAAGCATCAAACAAAAACTGCCCGCAGGGTTGCTCGGTGGCAGGACGTACCACGGGGCGTAAACCAATTAAAAAGAAACAAGCGAAATCTGGGATATACAAAATGAATCAAAATAAGATCATTTGGGGAATACAAAGCGCTGTGAAAGCTATAAACTGCTCAAGCCAATGCCAAGTTGGGGTTCTGTGGCTGTCCTTGGCACATCTCTGAACAGAAAAGCAGTTCAGCTTATAAAAATACCAAGATGATTACAACGCTTTCCTGCAACAATGAGCTGGGAGATATACTGAATGCACAGACACGCAACTGACAAAAAAAATTGGTCAGACTGTGCAAGTGTCAGTGCTAATCTTATCAACATTTATGGCTGATTTAACAGCACAACATAACACAACAAATATTATGAAAACCCAATACAATCTGGTTGCTGCGGAAGCCAATTTTGCTTTTCTCTTAACTTGTAAAGCAATAAATATTAGAACAAAACTTCCCTATTCAATGTCTGCATTTAGCCGTGGGGTTTTTATCTGAAGCCTTAATGTTGAACTCCATTCGGTAAAATAAAAGGGAAGAATGGTGTCATTGAATGGAACAAAAACTTCCCTCAAATTGCTTCAGCGGAAACATAACCCCTAACACACAGTAGGAAGTGGGGGGAACCAGGCAGCTCTGTACCCAGGTGTAGAAGCACTAGGCAGCTGCAAGCAGAAATAATTTGCATGTTGACAGCTCTGTAGCTTGGCAAAAATTCTAGGAGAGGGTCTTTTTTTAAAAAAAACCCAGAGATCTGTTACGATCAGGAAGGCATTGCACTGCCCGAAAGGGTGATGGAAGCAGATTCCACAGTAGCTTTCAAAAGGGAATTGGATAGGTATTTGTAAAGGAAAAATTTGCGTGGCTACGGGGTAAGAGCGGGGAAGTGGAACTAGTAGGATAGCTCTTTCAAAGCCCCGGCACGGGTACGATGGGCCAATTGGTCTCCTTCTGTGCTGTAAGGTTCTCGGAGAGCAATTAGAGTAGTGACGGTCTTTGTAGGCAAATGGCAGAGCAATGCCTGACTAACAGCCATAAGGTGAATGCCCGATTTATCTGGAGGATTGTTGGCCGGGACACCAGGAGAAACTCCTTTCCCTTTTCGAATAGCGTCATTGGATCTTTTAATGTCCACATGTCAGGCACACAGAACTGAGTAGTAAAGAAGCATCACCCTTGACAGTACCCAGGACTGCACTAGGGCCACATTAAGCTCAAGTCCTGATAAGTGACTTGAACTTTCTGTTCTGTGCCCACTATCACAGGGTGATGGGGGTCAAACCAAACAGCGTTACTTATGCTTATGATGTTAATTTCATTTCCTTAAAATGAACACGTTAGCGTGAGAACTGAAGGGGAAGAAAAAAAAAACTTGAGCGTTTTTCTGCTGCAGGGGGAAAAAAAGACATGAGGGGTAGAGGGTAATGAGTGTATGGTTGGGGTACGGGTGCTAAAATGCCGTCCTTTGGGTGAGACGTTACACCCAGGTCCGGTCTAAGTGTTCAGGTGGACGTTAAAGATCTCACTGTGTTTCTTCCTAACCAACCTGTCAAATGCACAGTCACTACACTTCACAGTAAAAGTTCTCGAGATGCTTTGACGGCGATGTAATAAGGCACTACCTACATCGAATGCACTACTGTATTACATTCATTATCATTATCAATTATTATTAATAATTTATTTCCCAGATAAGCTCCACCCCAACTCGTATTCGGAACAGACCTGAGATGATTTAGCCAAGCAAAACAGTTGCTATCCTTTACCCCCGCTCCCACCCCCAAAAATACAAAGATCCCTAACTCCACAGCTTCACCACCTCCAGAAATATTCCTTTTTATTTTGAAAAGAAGGCACCTGGCTGTAATTTTCTCCCAAAACATAAGCCATCCTTTTATCTTAAAAAAAATAGCAGCGTTCAAACACGGAGTCCATAATTTCTGTCAAGCTCTTGAAGCCATTGATTTGAGGCGATTCTGTCTCAAACTGAAGTTTTAGACTATTCCCACATTCCATCACAATATATTCCCACACGTCAAACATTAAAGCAAGAGGGATGTCGCTGTGGGGACGCAGTGCAGTACAAACTGCTCGAATGCAACAACAAAAGCTCAAACATTGGGGGAATGTATAAGGAGGAATGTAGCTTTACAGCTGAGAAGTCAAATAACCGGTGAAGCGAAGCCATCGAGAAGCCGTCATGTCCTGTGCACAGCACATGACAGTCTCAGACTCGGATAGACTTCAGGCACACGTTCAAAATTGCGAGGAATCCTTCACAATGTGGTTCACTTGGGAGTTGCATCATTCTAAAGGTCCCAGACCCTCGGTATTAAGATGAACTCAGGCCACATGTGGGGGAGGGAGCGGAGTAGGAGGGGAAAGGGAATGGGTCAGAAAGGGGGGGGGGAAGGGAATGGGTCAGAAAGAGAGGGGGGAAGGGAATGAGTCAGAGAGAGAGGGGGGAAGGGAATGAGTCAGAAAGAGAGGGGGGGGATAGGGCAGAAAGAGAGGGGGGATGGGGCAGAAAGAAAGGGGGGGATGGGGCAGAAAGAAAGGGGGGGATGGGGCAGAAAGAGAGGGGGGGATAGGGCAGAAAGAGAGGGGGGGGATAGGGCAGAAAGAGAGGGGGGGGATGGGGCAGAAAGAGAGGGGGATAGGGCAGAAAGAGAGGGGGGATAGGGCAGAAAGAGAGGGGGGGATGGGGCAGAAAGAGAGGGGAGGGATGGGCAGAAAGAGAGGGGGGGGTGGGGCAGAAAGAAAGGGGGGGGGTGGGGCAGAAAGAAAGGGGGGATGGGGCAGAAAGAGAGGGGGGGGATGGGGCAGAAAGAGAGGGGGGGTGGGGCAGAAAGAAAGGGGGGGATGGGGCAGAAAGAGAGGGGGGGATGGGGCAGAAAGAGAGGGGGGATGGGGCAGAAAGAGGGGGGGGAGGAATTGAACACTTTGAGTCAGATTAATTCACAAAACTCAAAGCCCTCGAAAAAGGGGGGGGTGGGGGTGGGGGGAGAGGGGGGGGTGGGGTGTGAATGGGGGAGGGGGAGGGGGGGGGAGAAAGGAGGACATTGAAAACGATTGTGACCCAATTTGGCAACAGACTGAACCCCTGTCGTCGACACAAGTGTCGTTATAAGATGATTTTAAAGGCAGAAGTCGCCAACGTCTCAACAATTTCACAAACACAGTCTAGGGTTGTTGTGGGGGGGGGTTGGGGGGGAGAGGGAGGGAGAGAGAGAGGGAGGGAGGGAGGGAATGAGGGAAGGAAATAAAACTTAAAAGATTACATTTCCGGGAACCTTTTTTTTTAACAGTGAAAGAGGGAGAGAGAGAGAGAGAGAAAAACTTTCCTCTGACACGTCTTATGACCAACTCTTCCCCCCACCCTCACACCCCCACCCTCTCATCACACACCACACACACATACACACACACAACCCGGGGACTACACCATAAAAACTATAAGAAAAGACACCAAACGTGAAACAAAATCTTTTTTCTATTATATAATTTTTTAAAAAAAATTTTATATATATAAAAATATCTTTACACAAGGCAATTTTTTTAAAAAAAACAAAACGAAACGGAAAGTCACCCTGAACAGAGATGGGGAGGGAAAGGGGAGGCCAAATTCATCATCCCCCCCCCCCCACTCCCCCACTTCCCCCCCCCCTCCCCCACCCTCGAGAAAGAGGGCCTCGTGGGCCGCCAGGATCAGATTGATTTGAAAGAGAGGAAGGAGAAAGAAAGAAAGAAAAAGTATTTTTAAATTCATTCAAATTATATTGGGGGGAGAGGGAGAGGGTGGAGAGGGGGGTTGGGGGGGGGGAGAGGAAGAAATGGGTGGATGGGATGTGTGGGGGGAAGGGGATGGGGTGGGGGGGGAGAGAGTGAATGAGGAGAGAAATGGATACAATTTGAGAAATGGATACATTGAGGGGTAGACACGAGAGAGAGAGAGAGAGAGAAATGGATACACACAATAAAATAAATGGATACAGTAGAATAAATGGATACGATAGAGAAAGGGGATACAATGAAACAAATGGATAACACTGAAACAAATGGATGACAATGAAACAAAATAGATAACAATAAAACAAATGGATACAATGACTCACCCGCCGGCAAAGAGGTGCAACAATGTATCGCTCTGCGACATCCTCACTCAGGCTGACATACTGCTGTGTGTGAGGGGGTGGGGGGGTGTGTGTAGGTGTGTGGGGTGGGGGGGGGGGAGTGTGTGTGGGTGTGGGGTGTGGGGGTGGGGGGGGTGTGTGTGGGTGTGTGGGGTGGGGGGGAGTGTGTGTGGGGTGGGGGGGGGAGTGTGTGGGGTGTGTGGGTGGGGGGGGAGATGGTTTATTAGAGGTGCTCTCCCCTGGACTGGCACTCACTCACTGACTGACTGTCTCCCCCGCACTCAGTCACAGTCAAGTCACCACTTCTTCTCCCCCCCCCTTCCCCCCACCCCCCACACACACACACACCCCCCCACACACACACCCCCCACCCACACGCCAGGCAGTCCTGCCCGTCTGTTGCACGGCAGTGGCTGACGTTGAGGGGAGGGGTGGGGGCTGGTACCTGCGTCACTGGAGGGGGGCGTGAGACACCACGTGTTTTTCTCTCTCTCTATATATATAGATTTATATATTTTTTTTAAAAAAAAGCAGATCTTTGCCAAACTGAAATGTCAGACTGGAATATCCTGGCGCTGAGCCCCACCAGAGCACTCACACACTCACTCACTCTCTCACACACACTCACTCACTCACACACACTCACTCACCCTCTCACACACACTCACTCACTCACTCTCACACACACACACACACTCACCCTCTCACACACACTCACTCACTCACTCTCACACACACACACACTCACCCTCTCACACACACTCACTCACTCACTCTCACACACACACACACACTCACCCTCTCACACACACTCACTCACTCACTCTCACACACACACACTCACTCACCCTCTCACACACACTCACTCACCCTCTCACACACACTCACTCACTCACACTCACTCACTCTCTCACTCACTCACTCACTCACCCTCTCACACTCACTCACACTCACCCTCTCACACACACTCACTTACTCACCCTCTCACACACACTCACTTACTCACCCTCTCACACACACTCACACACATTCACTCACTCACCCTCTCACACACACTCACTCACACTCACCCTCTCACACACACTCACTTACCCTCTCACACACACTCACTCACTCACACACACTCACTCACATACACACTCAGACACTCACTCACATACACTCACTCACACACACTCACTCTCACACACACTCACTCACTCACACACATTCACTCACTCAAACTCTCACACACACATTCACCCACTCACACACATACTCACTCACACATACACTCACACACCCTCACACACACTAACCCACTCACACACACACACACACACACACTCACTCACACACCCTCTCACACACACCCTCACACGCACATACACACTCACATACACACTCAGACACACACACACACACCCACTCGTTTAGAAGGTTGAGGTTTCTGATCTGATCGAAGATTTTTTTTAGAACGATAAAGGGTTTCGCCCACAAAACACACAGTCAAACTCACTCAACAATACATCCCACGGAGCGCTTTTGAGACGTCTCGAAGCCGTGTAATTGCGCTATATCAAATGCAAGGATTATTACGATTATGATTAGAGTTATTACTATTGCAGAGAAACTATTTCCTCTGGCGGGGGGGAATCCACAACAAGAAGGGCTTAATCTTAATTATTAGAGCTTGGCCATGTTTTTCACTCAAAGGGTAGAGGAAATCTTGAACTCTTTCCCCCCCACCCCCCAAAAAAAAAATTCACATTTTTAAGACTGAGGTGGATAGATATTTGGTGGGTCAAGGTATTATGGGATAGGGGGCAAGGGGCAGATAATTGGAGTTGAGGGTACAGATCAGCAGGTGAAATGTGGCAGACAATTGCGCACAGCGGTGTCCCACAAACAGTCGTGGATTGAGTAACCGATTTTTTTTTTAAGGTATCATTTCTTTGAACTATTGTACAAAACATCCCGAGACATTCCTGATGTATGATGCAAGGGGTTGATTTATATACCAGACACACACCACACACCCCACCCACCCACGCACTCTTTTGCCCTCCGTACGTCTATTCAGTTATGCACAAACGTGACAATTCTGAACTGTTTTTTTAAGGGCTTGAGTTAATATTTGCTCCGCGTTTTCGCGATTGTACGTGCGCATGTGTATTTCGGCCAATTTTGCCAACGTAGTATTTAGTACTGAGTGACCTGTGTGTGATTTTGCCAAGTGAAGCAATCCGCCCACAACGTGGGGGTGGGGTGAGGGGGGTGGGGGGGCAGGTGTTGAAACAGGTTTTAAATCAATTGGAATATTGTTAAATGTTTACAATGCAGTCGTACCAGATAAAGAGTCGACCAGCCCAGGAAGCACAAGCAAATCAACAAACTAAATGAATAAATAAATTGCCAACAAGGCTGTTTGTCAATTTAGTCCTTTACGATAAATATAAATATATCTAAAGGTACGACAAATATTGTGAAGCGCTTTGAGACGTCCTCCTGTAACCAAATGCAAAGCATTATCAAGGATTATTAATAATAGATGCAATACAATACAAAAAAATATATATTTGTACAGCGCCTTTCACATCAGGAGGACGTCCCAAGGTGCTGGACAGTCACGGATTTGGACCTGAGCTGGGGGTGAGGGGCATTGGGGTAAGGGAGGATGGAGGCCAGGGAGTGTAGGAAGGTGGCGAAAGAGGAGGTACGGTCGAAGAGGAGGGTCTTGAGGTGTGCCTCGAAGGAGGCAAGGGAAGGGGGCAAGGCAAACAGGCTGTGGGATTTACAAATACATCAATAATAAGCCGAGACTTGAACCCACAACCTTCTGACTTGGAGCGGATTGACCCGGACTAATGCCAACGTATTTAAGGAAGAAACCCGACTTTAGGTTGAGACAACTTGCCCTCAAGAGCAAAGAAATCCCTCCTCTGGTTAATGACCAGCATTTGCATTTCGATTAACTTCCCGTGGAGCTTTGCTGAGCGTCCAAAACCAGAGGGCACCATTCGCAGAACTTCGAGAACTCTCAGTCCGGGGGCAGAGGCCATCGGAGAAGCAGGGGACGATGGAGATGTCACGTAGCTCTTTGCAAAATAACTTCCAAATAGGAGCTTGCAGCAGTGAGTGCCCGTTCGTTTGGCAAGACACTAAAGTTATTCGAAACTTAATCCACCATGTGTGGACTTGAAAATAGCATCACCGTAACGTGACATTGTTGCGTCTGAGTGGTCAACATCTCATGTGTCAGGATACTGTACAGACGCGGAGGGTTTTTTTTTGACACCCTTTGGCCGCGGGAAAGCAGCTTTTATAACGTTGCAACAGCTGAGTGGCCGTTGCGGCTGCCAACATCGAAGGCATTTAAAGCTCGTCAAGGAGCCAGTCGCAACAGCGGTGAATGGCATCAGGTCCGCATTACAGGCGGACGGATGCCAAAGCAACACCAATACCTTTGGAACTCTTTTTTCAAAGGGTTTGAGGGTAGCTCGTTTGACTCTTAACCAAAAGCGAGCGTTAAATATGGAGCCGTGCCGTATTGCGTCTGTTTTGGCTCAATAGTGTTTCGGTCGGTATTGAGAGTGCGACATGTTAATTCTGGATTTATCAAACCCCTATTTATCAGAAAAACGCCTGACTTTTTTTTCCCCCAGTTTTGCTTTTCGTCCTGCAAAGTGCTTGGAGAATTCACCTCCTGACGTTTTAAAGGCACGTCGTCAAATACAAAGGTTGCTATTATGGTTGAATAATAATAATTTTAATAATAATAATAATAATCCTTGCATTTGATATAGCGCTTTTCACGTCGGGAGGACGTCCCAAAGCGCTTCACAGAACACACTGTAAAGTGAATTGACTGTATATTTGTGGGCGAACGCGGCAGCCAATTGCGCACAGCAATGTCCCACAAACAGTCGTAGATTGAAAATGACCAATTTAATTATTGTTTTTGGTTTTGGAGGATTAGTATTAGGCTCTGTGTGGAGTATGGAAACTTGCCCAAGGTTTCGCCCTCTGCCTGGAGTTGAATCCAGGTGTCTCGCTTGCAAAGCGAGTGCTTTAACCACTGAGCTACAAGATTCGGGACGTGAAAGGCGCTGCCCAAAATGTAATTTGTTGTTGTTCGTAGATTCCTGTTCCTGAATGTGCCAACACTCACTGAACCAGTTTGACACACTAATGCTTGCAGAAATCTATCACCGTGACTAAGAGTGTCCAAACTGGACTGAGAGTTCCAGAGTGAAGCATCATGCTCACCTACTTCTGGAGAGTATTAGGCGCAGGTTGACAAGAGCCAAGGTTTGGGGACCCCAGAATGCGCTGGTAAGAAATACTGCAACTTAGACCCCGATATTTAATAATATTCTTGCATGTCAACAGAATGTCCGCAGTTATTTGCTGTAGATAACTGGTGGCGACTCCAATAAATCCCAATAATACTTTTGACGATGCTCAAAACGAGACCATTTGCACATTCCTGACAATAGGAGAAAAATGCAGCTAAAGTGCTAAATATCCACGAATGCAAATATCCCCAAATATTTGTGGAGTCCTGTAGCTCAGTGGTTAGAGCACTCGCTTTGCAAGTGAGAGACCTGAGTTCAATTCCAGGCAGAGGGCGAAACCTTGGGCAAGTTTCCTTACTCCACACACCTAATAATAATCCCTCCAAAAAAAACAATAATAAATTGGTCATTTTCAATCCATATGACTGTTTGTGGGACATTGCTGTGCTCAATTGGCTGCCGCATTCACCCACAAATATACAGTCAATTCACTTTACAATGTGTTCTGTGAAGCGCTTTGGGGAGTCCTCCCGACGTGAAAAGCGCTATATCAAAGGCAAGGATTATTATTATTATTATAAATAGCCACATTTTCCTATGAAAATCTCTCTGGCACCATGCAAATGCATAAAATGAATGAATCCATAGGTGGCAGCAGAATAAAGGTAATGTGAATAACCAAACCTACAATAAAGAGAGAGAAGCATGTGTTATTTTACGGTATGCTGGTTCAATTACTGTAAACCCCTGACAACAACACACTGGCTGGACAACTACAACAA